TTCGCCTGCTGTCCCCTGCCCTTCTGCCTACCCTCTCCGCCTCCCTCAGGGGCTCCTCCCTTCCTTTCTCTGCCCTGTCAGTGTTGGGGTTCCGGGGCCTCTGCTGCAGGCCCCCTCCCTGCCCCTTCTCCATCTCTCCCAGGGCAGCCTCATGTTCTCCCGGGGCACCCCGATGGCCGAGGGCTCAGGTCTGCATCTCTTCCCCGAGCTTTGCACCCAGAGACCCAGTTGCCCTAGACATTGCAGTAGGGGTGTCCCGCAAGCACCTCAACATCCTCTTCTCTGAAAGATTGATTCTCCAGCTCCTCCTCTTCCCCATGTGCAGTTCACTCCTGCTCAGCTAATAACCTCCGTCCATCCAGGTGTGAACCTGGCTGTCTGCCTAGACCTCCCTCTTCCCTGGTACCCACTACCTCCAGGCAGTCCCCTTGTGCTTCTGCTGCTCTCAAACCTTCCTGTTCCCGTCTAGGGCCATTCCCCTTCCTTGGTCCACAGCCTCCCCGTTTATTGTCCAAATTAAGGCAAAATTCTCTGCACTGGGCACCCTGCCCCGTTCCACCCTTACCGTCCATTCTTCCCACTGCAGCCAGAGAGTTTTCTGAAACGTGCATCTGACGGGGTCTCGCCCTTGTTTAAGATTCTTCTAGGCCTCCACCGCCCTCAGGATGCAGCCCCAGCTCCTCAGCAAGGCTCACGGTCCGGCCCTTGCTCTCCCCTCCAGCCTTGTCCTCACCACCACCTCTCCCTGCCTCCTCTGCACTGACCAACACGCCATGCCCTTCCCTGGCCTCGCCGAGCCTTCCTTCCAGCCTCCTGGCATTTGCCCTTGATGGCCTTTCTGCCCCAAATACCCCCCTTCTGGTTTGCTAACTCTCCTCCTACCCTTCAGGACCGCCACCGCACCCCCACATCCTGAGATTGGCCAGACCCCCATGAGGGTCCCGGCTTTTCTCTATATGACCTCTCCACGCCCTGCTCTGTTTCCTCATCTGCCCTCCCCATCAGAGCACAAGCTCTTTAAGGACGCACAGACGTACACAGGACCTGGCACACTGAAGACACCTTACTAAGGATTACTTGAACAGATTAACAAATGCATGAAGGACATGTGCTGTGTACTCCTTTTACTTAGCACACAGAGACAGCTTTGGGGCGTGCATTTACCACAGCTTTAGCTTACAAAGGAGGGGAAGGCGGTGATTTGAGTGTGGTGGGGAGTCCAGGAGAGAGCATTGAGGCTGAAAGTGTGGGCTCTGGAGCCAGGAGCCCTGAGTTCAGATCCCAGCTCTGTCGCTTGCTTGTGATATGACTTCCAGCAAGTTACTTAACCTCTCTGCACCTCAGGTTCCCCATCTTTGAAATGATGATAGTAATTGTGCCTACCTCAAGGATTGTTGAGAGAGTTAGATGAGTTTGTGCTTAAAAACCTGGAGAAGAGAGGTATCATCCTTCCCATTTTACTGATGAGGGAGCTCAGAGAGGTGATGCCATTACCTGAGGTCACACAGCTCGTAAGGAGCAGAGCTTGGATTTGAGCCCAGCCTGTCTTTGTGTGTGCCAGTGGCTGCAGAATCAGACGTATTATGCCTGCAGGCTCTGAGATTTCAGCCTCTGGGTGGAAATCTCCAGAAATATTCTACTCTTATGGCCAGAAAAACACGCTTCATGCAGAATCTGCTTTCTTGCCTGGCTCACAGTAGCTGCACAACACTGCTCGTGTAGATGAGTAATATTTACTAAAGGCCTCAGAGCCCCATCTCGTCTCCAGCGTTTCCTGCTCCCTGGGCGGTGGTGGGAGGGCTGTCCTGGGTCTCCTTTGGCCAGGGTGCTGACAGCAGCCTGTCCTCATTCAGGGCTTTCTTCTGTCCCAGCGCTTCGTGGGGGAGAGGCATCGAGAGAGCGTTCTCCCAGGAGGAGCTGTGCCTTCTCCGAGTCTCCGGAGTTGAGTGTCCCAGCCCCCGCGCTCTCAAAGGCTGCCCTTGGGGGTTTCAGAACAACCCCACAGCCCTGCAGGCTGAGAACCTGGCCTCCGAGCCCCTCCTTTGGGACTCAAGGTCTGTGGCTAGAGTCAGCGCTGGTAAAACCTAAAGAAAATAGTTTGGGGATGTTCTCAGATAGTGTCTGGTGGGACAGAAGAGCGGTTGGTCCTGCGTCGCTTCTAGTAGTCTGCTTCACTCTGGGGTGAGAGTGTTCAGTTAAGCGAGGGCGCTGACGCAGGCTGCATGGCTCAAAAGTTTGCAGCATCCAGAATGTGGAAGAGAGGGGACCGGAGCCGGTTTGCTCCTGACAGGTCTGCTGCTGCTTTCTCCCTCCATCCCACGCGGTTTCCAGTTTTCAGATTCTCCGTTCAGAAAACAGCGACATCCACAAGAACGCATGTGTGTGCACCCCTGCTAGTTAGGGGCCTTGTGTGTTCCTTTAGTGAAACATGCAGAGTCGGGAGTGGCCTGGGGCGGAGCACACCCAGGTCGGTTCCCCCTGCAGCGGCCCGTTTTCTTTCCTGCTCGGGGTTGTCCCTTCTCATTCACCAGCTGAGGGGCATTTGGGACGCTTTTGGGGGCAGTTTGTAAGGTGGCAGGCATAGGCTGGCTGCAAGGTTCTTCATCCGGAGACAGGGGAGCCGGTGAGCACCCTGGAGTTCCCTGCAGAATTCTGGGAGTGAGTAGGTGCATTAGGGAATTTCTCCGGGGAGAAAGCCCATCCCAATGGTAGCTTCTCAAAACACCCCTCACTCCCTCCCCAGGTCCTTGCCAAAAAAAAGGATAAAAAGGGTCCGGCCCAGTGGCGTGGTGGTTAAGTTCGCATGCTCCGCTTGAGCGGCCCAGGGTTTGCAAGTTCGGATCCCTGGTGCAGACCTATGCACAGCTTATGAAGCCGTGCTGTGGCAGGCATCCCACATATAAAGTAGAGGAAGATGGGCACAGATGTTAGCCCAGGGCCAATCTTCCTCAGCAACAAGAGGAGGATTGGCAACAGATGTTAGCTCAGGAATAATCTTCCTCACCAAAAAAAAAAAAAAAAAACTATTCAGGTGGAGTTTGTAGGTCATTCCTTCATTGCTGGCAAACTGCTTCTATGGTGCTCAAGCCATACCGTGCGTAAGTAGGCCTTGGGGAAACGTGGCAAAATGTGTCTTCCTGGGAGAGCCCTTCACAGAGATTGGGACTCAGTGGGTCTGGGATGGGGTGCAGGAATTTCTGTGTGTTTGGCAAGTACCCCACAAGGACCATGCTCTGGGGCCCACCGCTCTGTTATAATAATGGAAACTCTTGAAGGTTTCATTTAATAAGGTCTGTAGTTTTAAAATGAATTAGAGCCAGATACTGGTAAGACATAAGAAGCAGATAAAGTAACGGTTGTTATAACTACGTGCCTGCCTCCTTTCTTTCTCAAATAACTTGGACTTCTTTTTTGTCTGGCTTATCCTAGTAGGGGGCAAGAGCCAGACCCTGTGCCCGTTTTTATCCTCAGTGTCAACATAGTGCCTGGCACGCAGTTGGTGCTCCATGAGTGTGTATTTAAGTTGATGTTCCCCCTTGTCCTGGCCATAGGTCTGAGAGCTGGTTTCCTTTTGCATAAATCCATGGCCGCACACAGCCCGATTTTGTTTGGGGGCCTGCCTGATTTCTCCAGCGGGGTTTGGGGTTGGAGGGAGCCTGCAGACCAGTGCTAATTGGTGTCATTGAGTAATTAATGCAGAATCAGGCCCTGAGCGGATTCCCAGGGCGACAGACACTGAGGGAGGCTTTCATGCTTGGTGGGATGGGAGCTGCTTTCTCAAAGGACGTTCCCAGAGCACTGAGGCGGCTGGCGTGGTCCGGTGGGGGTGGTTTGGCAGCTGGAACGGGGTTCGTGGAGCGAGTTTGGAGGGAGTTTGTGTTGGTGCCATGGTTCTGCACAATATGGAGCGTGGCGAGTTTGACTTTAAAGGAACACAAGCCCCAGGCATGGGCTCTGGAGCCAGGCCTGTGTCAGCTCTGAAGCATTGATGGTTCTGAGGGAAGGCCGTGGCTCGAGCCGTGGCCCCGTGCACCCAGGCATCCTCGTTCTCCCGTGGCCTGGGCCGTCTGAGACACCCCTCCCCTCAGCATGCTGGTCAAGGCTCTGTGGTCCTCCTCTGCTGACCTTTCCTGCTTTCCCCTTGATCCCTGTGCTCCAGCCTTCTCCAGGTGTCCCATACTCTGCCTTCTGGACTTTTCTTGTGCTATTCCCTTGACCTAAAACAATCTTTACCCCTTCCCTCCCCTGGCTAAATTCCATCATCCTTCAAAGTTTGGCTCAAATATCCCTTCTTCCAGGAAGCTCTCCCTGATCCCCTGTAGCAGTCAGGATAGGGTGGGTTATGCTGCAGTAACAAATGCCCCCAAAGATCTCAATAGTTTAAAGCAACAAAGTTTATTTCTTACTCACAAAACATCTCTGACACAGGGTGGCGGGAGGGCTTACATAGTCACTCAGGAACTCAGGCTTCTAGAGGCTCCATTGTGACACATGCTCCTGTCGTGACAGTAAGATAGGGAAAAGAGAACGTGGCGAACCACACCCCCTGGCTCTGAAAGCTTCTGTCGAAGGGATGAGTCCTCTGGCCACTGCTGAGTTCAGCAGGCCAGGGATGTGTACTCTTCCCTGAGGGAGGACCTGGAGTGTTTGTGGACAGTACTGCGAGCTCCCGGCTCCCCTGAGGTGGGCTGGGTGCTTCTCGGTCTTCCCAAAGCCCCTGCACTTCCTGCATCCTCGCCTTTACCACGCTGTGCGGTAAACCATCTCTGACTGGCCCTCTTTCCCCCATGGAGGGAATCCATGAAGGCGGGGGGCTGGGTCTTGTTCCTCTCTGAGGCCCCCACGCCCAGCCCTGGGTTTGGCTCAGAGAAGACGCTTTGGGGGCGGGCGGGTCAGCGCGTGGGCCCGACCCTGCCCCTCTGCAGTGCTAGCTTTGCCCGAGGTGGGGATCGAGGTGGGCCGTCTGCAGCCCCCCTGACTCTCGGCCCTCCCTTCTGCAGGCGCCGGGTCCTGGCCATCTCGGATGGGATCGAGCACATCGGGAACCTCCGCTGGGAGCTGGCCTTGTGTCTCCTGGCCGCCTGGACCGTCTGCTACTTCTGTATCTGGAAGGGGACCAAGTCCACGGGGAAGGTAGGAGGTGGATCTTCAGGCACCTAGCCGCGGCCGGGGGTGGGTGCGAGCTGTCGTTGCACGAGCTCACAGGAGACCCAGAGAGTGCGAGGAGTTCGCGTTGCAAAGGCCAGCTCTTAACTTGGGAGGGAGGAGGAGCCTGGACTGGAGTCCACTCAGGAGCCCAGAGCCAGAATCCCAGTCCACCACGTATTGGCCGCACACCTCAGGGCTGTTCCCTTCTACCCTCTGAGCCTCCGTTTGCTCATCTGTGAAATAGCAAAGCCTTGTCCCTCTTACTGAGCTGAGAGTCGCACAAGGAAAGGGGAACTAAAGTGCTTTGACAGCCAGGAAGTGCCGAACTGCCGCCATGTAGTTTTTTGTAATTCAGACGTGCGCTCGAGGCGTGTGCTGGCGCAGGTAGTGCTGGCAGCCTCCGCTGACAGACCCCGAGGTCTCACTCGCTTGGCGTCCGTGGAGGGAGGGCAGCCGCTTCCATCTCATTGCCTTGCTATGCCGCCCGCACCACGTGGCCTCCAGGGCCGGCGCCTCATCAGTGGGAGAGAAATGGGAGGAGACAGCCAGCTTTAACTGCCCTGGCCTGGCAGTTACCACGGCTCTTCCCCTCGCAGACCACCGGCCAGAACCTGAGGCAGGGCCTCACCTAACCGCAAGGGAGGCCGGGAAGTGTGGGGGAGCCCAGGGTCACCCGGGAGCATGGCCGTCCAGGCCACAAGGATCAATACAGAGGTTATAGCTCATGGCCAAGTCCAGCCCGCTCATGTGCTTTATTTAAAAAAGAGCAGACGGCAGTGGGGGGAGAGTTAGTTGCCAACATTTAAAAATCAGGAGATTTCGGGTGGAAAAAAGAAATCTGATTCTGGCAACCCTTAGAAAGTTGAAAGATTTGGCAACACTGCACCTGCGTACCTACACGGCAGCACTGGGCTGAGCTGAGCAGCAGCCGCCTCCTCCTAGGGATACTTTGGTTGACCACAGTCCTCACCATTCCTTATCGCCCCAGTCCTGTGGCGGAATGTCAGTGCCATTAGTTTCCTCATTTGTGCTGTTCATTTCTTATGGAAAAGAGGAAAATGAAGCTTTTCTTATGCCTCCGTCACCCCGACCACGACTCTCCTTGCCTGCCTGCTTCTGGTAGGCAGTTGCTCATAAACTTTATTCTAAGCTATTGGCTGGGACAGGGGCTAGAGTTAAAACCTCCAAGGAGACAGGAACTTAACAATTCTGGGCCCTTTTATAAAAGATGGTCCCCTTGGCTCCCGTAGCGGTGGGTGGGATCAAGAGGAGACTGCTAGAATGCTGGATGTGGGGGAGCTGCAGGAGGGAGGTTGGGATGGCAGAGAAGAGATGTCAACAAGCTCCGTGCTGTGGGCTGTAGAGAAGCTGAGCATGTTCTGGAAAGTGGTCACGAGTGTGCGTGGGGACCAGAGGAAGCAGAACAGAGACTCCAGTGTCCCTTCAGCCAAGGTGACTTGGCTGGTCTTTACTTCTCTGGTTGTATCATAAAGACAATAGAGTTTTTCTGGTTTTACAAATATAAAAATTATTGCATTATTGATATACTTCTTCAGACTACACACACGCTGCCCCTGTCACCCTCCTTGCTGCCTCTTCCGGCTAACGAGGAGGAGACTGTGACTGGGGGCATCCAGAACCAGGGTCTGGAGTCAGGATTCACACCTCAGGTCTGTCGTGCACTAGCTGCGACCTTGGGCACGCTACTTAATTTCTCTGAGCCTCAGTCTCCTCTTCTGCAAGACAAGGATTGATAATGGAGCTCACCTCACAGGGTGGTTTCCAGGAGGAAATGCAAGGATGCACATTCAGCACTTAGCAGAGTGTTAACTAAGAGTAAGTACCGAGTGATGGTGATTTCTAAAAATCTTGTTATGAAGATGACATTTATTCATTTAGGCAGTAGTTTCTGAGTATTTGCTCTATACATAGCGTTATCCAGCAGATATCTAAAGATGAGTAAAAGGTGGCCTCTCCCCCACCCAGACAACATGCATGAAAGCGCTTTGTGAACCACAACGAGGCGGGAGGGGGTGTCAGGGTTGGTCTCATCATTCCTCCTACTGCAATCGCTGCCTTCTTGGGAGTCGACGCTGAGGCCAGCGGGGCTTGGCTGCGTGGTGTGGTGTGCGGTTGCTGCGAGGACTGCTTGGACGGGGTTGTGGTGCGTGTACACGTGTCAGTTGTCCATGTGCACATGTGGCCTTGCACGCTTGGGCCCAGGATGGGCCATGGCAAAATTTGGTTCCACTCTGCCCTCAGGGGGAAGCTCGATCCCATGGTGGGGCCACTGGCTATTGGCTGGGCCATCGAACCTGTGTGTTCGAATTCCAAGGCAGGGACCGAGTTTCAAGGAAGGACAGGCAGGCTACGTTCTTGGAGATTTCAGGAGAGGCATGTGGGGAAGGCACAGGGGAGAGCGTCCATCCACGGCCTGCTGCTCACTCGACCCCGTGCCCGGGGTCTTCCCTCTACGTTAGCACATAAGATCCCAGAAACTGGGGAGATAGTGCCTCTGTGTCACAGGCGGAGACCCTGAGGCCGAGAGGTTGAGTACGGAGTTACACGGCAACTTTGCACCTCAGCACGGACCGAGAGCTCCTCCGCCTTGCCTGAACTTGGACTCGATGAAAATGTAGAACATTGTGGTGGTTTGAGTGACGTCCTTTCACACACCCTCCCTGAGCCTGCTGTTTCTCCTCTCCAGTAGAAATGGTAATGATGGCTGTAGTAATAATACTGATAAGTAGTAATAAGTAATAGTTATTGAGTACTTCATGTGCCACTTCCATTCAGACCTTGAAACAACCCCATGAGCTGGCGCTAGCGTTAGCTCCATTTTACAGATGAGGAAACTCGGAGGGATTACCTGGCTTGCTCAAGGACCCTCAGGCAGGAAGCAAGTGGCCAGTATTAACCCCAAGCCTTGGTAACCGCCTGGCCCATGCTCTGGATGAGTGTTCCATAGTGCCTGTCACCTGTGACATGGGGACAATGACGATTTTCTTATGGGCTAGTTACAGAAAAGCAGTTAATGAGATAGCTTAGCACATAGGTGCTCAATGGTTGTTTGTTGCAGATGGATCTAAATGGTGCTTTTAAGTGAAATGCTGAAATCACATGAGCCGATTAAGGATTTTCCTGAAGGCTGGGTTTCATGGGCTCTTCCCCGTGTTCCATGCCCAAGACCAGAGTTAGCATCGGGCTGAGATGTGGTTTGCTGGAGCTGTGAGATTCCTTAGAGACTGTCTGGTCCACCCCCATCCTTATTTTATGGATGGGGAACAAGGTCACACAGCGAGTAAGTGTCACTTCAGAAACTAGAGCCTGGTGGCCCAGCTCCCCGGCTGTTTATAACTGATGAGGTTCTGGGGTCACGTCGGGTAGTTTCTGGAGACCAGGAGTCCCCGGATCGGCACGTGGGCTCTTCAGGAGAAGTTACTGTTTATTACTTGCCTCACCTTGGCCATGAGCACAGCGTCCAAAGGTTTATCGGGTTCTGTACAAAAACAGCTAAAAATAAACACTGGGTCATCTGAGTCTTCCCGAGTGGTCAGAGGTCGCCCCTGCCCCCTGCCTGCAGAACCCTGGCCAGAGCCGTTTCCACGAGGCTGCTCATGAAGGAGAACCCCATCTTGCCGCCGTCGTCTGGGCCACGACTAAGTTGGCATTTCCTCTTCATCCCGAGTGCCAGCCCACTTCCCATACTCAGGCCGCAAGCAGAGATTTCTGAAATTTTATTAATTTGAGGAAAGTTCCTGGCGCCCTCCTGTCTCCAAGGTAAAAACTAGGACCCCAACTTGGACTCAATTCGGCAAGCACGTCCCCCCGCAGGTGGGCCGGCACTGCGGGCTCAGCCTTTCGGGAGTTGCTTGTCTAAGTGGGGATTTGGGATCAGGTCACAAATAAGTAGGGTACAGGTGAGGCCTCGACACTGCCACAGGTGACGGGGCGGCCATGCTCCCAGGGGCCTGTGGGGCAGTGCGAGGCCCCAGGCTGCGCTGGCCTGACGTCCCCCGGGGCCAACCTCCGCAGGTGTCCTTCAGCTGCACCCTCCTCAGGTGCTTTACAACCTTCTGACGACACAGAGGCTGGCATTCGGGGTCTCCCCAGGGTCAGAGCGGGCAACCTCTACTCTCAGAGGAAGCTGCTCTGGGCTGAGAGAGAGATTAACCAGATTCCAGCTGGTTCCAGGGTGCCACATCCCTTTGCTTCATAAACATTTGTGGAGGGAATGAATCCCGCCTGTGCCTGGGGCTCCCTGCGAGGCGCTGGGATGCAATGGAGAGGACGGGGGACAGTCTTGTCCCCGCAGAGCGTGCATCCTAGTAGGGCGGGCACAGACACGGAAGCAGTTGCGATTCAGTGTACGTATCGGTGCTAGCAATAAACAAAGGACAGTTAGAGAATCAGATCCCGAGAACGCAGGGATTCTAACGGTTGAGGACTGGCTCTGGAAGATTAGAACATGGCATGTCAGAGCTGGGAGGCATCTTGGCTTTTAAGTCTAAACCCTATTTTACAAATAGGGAAGTGGAGGCCCAGAGAGGTCCCAAGGGTTGCCCAAGGCCACCCTACTTGGAAGGAGCAGTGCAGGGATTCAAACCCGGGTCGACTGCCTTCTGTAAGCCTGGTCCTCATCTGTTCTGAGGCCTCGCGCTGGGAGTCCACGTGAGGTTCAACATGAGCGCGTCGATCACGGTTCCGAGCCCCTGCAGGTGCTTGGTAAGCCGTCTCCCTGCCCCAGCGCGACAGCTGCACCCTCAGTTCTGCATAGTCATTCCTCTCTCCAGACGCTGTTGGAAATTCTAGAAGTCTGGATTAAAAAAATAAATAAGAACCTTTCTCAGGTGTATATTAAGTCCCGAGAAAATGTAGGATTCTGAAACACTTGGTTTCTTCAGAGGAAACTTGCAGGCTGTTTATCACTTGTCATCTTCTAGATGATAGACAGTTTCAGTCTGGAAAATTGGAACATGGATAAT